AATCATCAAAATTCAAGTCAAACAGACGTAACGTTACCTGTGCCTGTGCCGGTTTTAGTGAGAACGACGCGTGGCGTGAAAAAGGTTGTCCCGGCATGCCCTGGGACGGTGACCCCACCAGCGTAGAACCTTCCCTCAGACTCGCTGTGCTATCGTGGAAGGTGTACGCTGTAGGACGAGCGTAGTCCTCTGCCCCGATATGACATATGTATCGATGGATGGTGGTCCCCTTTCCACGATAGTTATCGTGGAAGGTGATCGAAAGGGGTGGTTTAAAAAGGAGTCATATCCAGGAACAAGGAGGAAAGTAGGAAGAGCAGTGAGACAGAGAAGGGGGAAACAACTCTACGTTTCAATGGAGAAGTCGAGACTGTATAGGCGGATAAGCCACACTTAAGAACTGCAGTCGCTAGATTCTGATAACTCAAGAAAGTTACAGCTGACAGCCAGTGAAAAAAAACAACCTTTCCACCTTTTCGGCGGTCTTCCCCTTGGCCTAGGATTGGTAGGTCCTGGTGGTATGCCTTGTAAACTAGGGTATTTGCCGGTCTCCTCACTACATGCCCAAACCATCTCAGCCTTCTGGCTCGTATATTGTCAATAATGGTTTGTTCTGCCCCTAGTTACCCTCCATGAAAATGGGGGTACTGTTTTTACTCCGTTTTATGTTTGGTCTGATATCTGAAGATTGGTGAGAAGGAACTGTACGATATTTGGCAGATTGATGGATGGGGCCTTGGAGATTGTGTAGGTTGACTTTGAGCCCCTGGTGATTGACCTTGGTACTGCAGTTTAATTTTTTTATTCTGTTGTTTTCGCGTTATGGACTGTTTGTGCGATATTAAGGTAACATGTAGTTGTTATTACCATGGTTTAGTGGTTTAAATTTGGGTCCCCTAGCTGTTTGCGTTTGATATTTACAAATGTTTAATGTTGGACTTTTTGTGTTGAATGTTTGGAAAATCTGGGGGATGGTTTGGTATGATTTTTGGTATGTGGGTAGTTGTTGAGTCTCTTTGTGTTTTGGAGTGCATTAGCAGGTTGTCGCATATTTTTATTGCTTAATTTAAAAGGATTTTCACTTTTTCACCCCTACTTCATAATAGGATGGTCTGTTTGACCCAAAAGTTGGGACAGAGTGTTTTTGTTTATACCTCCAGCTGGCAGGTCAGACCCAGGCAGCCCTATCTATTTTTGCCCCTAGACAGAGTCTGCAGGAAAATAAATCTTGTTTGTCTGGTCTGCAGGTCGTTTGCCTGTCTGGTCATGGACCTACATGTACAGGCAAATGTAGCCTGGGTACCATCCCCATAGTAGTATATTCGCAAACTCTATAACAGTCATAGAGTTTGCGAATATACTACTGGGGATGGTACCCAGGCTAAGGCAAATGACCTGCTGGCCATCAAAGTAAACAAACCATGGTAACAAGACACTAAACGCCTGCACATGACAGCTTGATAAATACAAAGTGCCACCACAAATCATTCTGCTGATAAAAACAAAGTTTGATTCATAATATCTCTATTGAAATACACCAAAAGATTACAAAATAACAAGCTATTTCATGGAGGGATGATGTCTACGACTTCTCCTTGGTGACTTCTTTGTTTTGTTAAGGTCTGACTTGAGATCAGTGAAGGAGAATTCCAGAGAGTATAGCTCCCTTGGAAGAACCCCAAATCCAACGTGGCACTAGAAGCCGTTTCCTTGTGAAGTGGCGGGAAGATAAAAAGCTCGGAGCTGGCCAGGCGCCAAAGAATTCGTTCACCTGCATTCCGATCACAATACTACAGCCAGGACCTAAAAATACCGGTCCTGACACCTGACCCGCGGTTCGGCGGTTTCTGGACACCCCCAGGTCAGCTATGGTGACTGGTCGTGCTGTTTGGGTGAGTTACAGGTTAAAAAGGCATCATAACAAACCGGCAACAGCCCACTACCATCCCCATAATTACGCGAACAACACACAATTTGCGTTCATACCCTACAACATATTCGAGCCTGACCAACTTCTTATTTGACGGGTAAGAATAGCATATGCCGTTAATGTTTAACACTTACGGAAGACATCAACAGGTAGATAGCAACGTTTATTCTTCAGCTTATTGTGTCATACACTCACTCCAGTGTATCACAACGAGCTTCACAATCACATACACAGTCTTTTATACTGTTTCCTCAGACGAAAAGTTTAACATGTCTTTACTGTAGAAACTGAATAACGTGCATGTGGACCCTATTCAGTAAGCCCGTTGACAGCCCGCCATGTTCCCCTTTCAATGGTACTAGTAATGCAGAAATAATAGGGGGTTCTGAAAATCCGCCATCCAATACAAGCCTCGGGGTGTAGGTGTCCGGAGTTGTGAGCTGAGACACTTGTTTTGTAGAGATGGGTGTAAAAATCATCTGTCCGTCCAACTTTGGAGTAGTGATTGTCAAAAGTTTTCTGTACTACAAACAATACATCTCCCTCTGTCCTCAGCAATAGCTGATTTCGTGAAAAAAGTGGCATCCATTTCTAAAAAAAGAAGAACGTCTGACCTACCAGACAATGCGGAAATCTTCCCTGTTTTATAAACTACCGCGAAACTTCCTGTTGTAGCAGAATGCGGGCTTCAACTTGTTTTTCCAACTCTTGACGTTGGAGTCTACAAGCACTGAATTTGGGTGTCAAATGTGGTGTCTACCCCCCTCCCCCCACCATTGTGTTGCGGTCAGCCCACAACAAACCAAACATCCAAACCTGTACTACCGAAGTGTCAGGTGTCCCTAGGTAAACTTACCTTTACCGTCAGACTGGATGTAGACCGTCTCTTTTTCTAAATTTGGGTCTCCAATTGTCTTTTTAGAACCAGCCAGTGGCAACTTAGTAATGACAATGGAAAATACGCCATATTTACAAGTTGAGCATATAAGGATAGATGTTAAGTCAAACTGTGCCTTTTCTTCTGAAGTTTAGATTGGTTGGCTGTTGAGAAAGTTGTTCTAAGACTCCGATATCGAACACAGGATGGCACCGTGAAGACGGTTGCACACCTAGCAGGGTTAATCTCCAAGCAGATCCTAGGGTGGCAAAAGACAGTATCACATTGGCTAGGCAGTATTCCTTAGCCAATTCGCCACCCAGGCCTAGGAGCGACAAAAAAAACACAAAACAAAACACAAAACAAAAAAAAAAAAAGGAACATAAACAAAAAGGTAGCGATCTCCCTCCATTAACATCTGCTTGGAGGGTATAGTTAGGTTACAGTTAGGTGTGGTCACACAGGTGAAGACAGGCACGCGCTCTTGACGTCACCAGGTGTGCTGACGAAGCCCCGAGAAGGCGTGACGACGGGTCGTCACGGGAGGTGAGAGTGACGTGCCAGCGTCTGTCAAAAGCGCCACAAAGGTCAGTTTCTTCCCGCGGCGATATAGTACACAAAAGACACGTTTCCACCGGTTCAATGGCTTGTTGAAGTCTACACGACCTTTAGCCGACATGTGTTAGACACTTGTCAATTTACAACTATAAAGAACGTTTCTACCACATTCCAAGGATAAAGTAATTCAATACCAGACTTTTGTAGGTGAAACTAGTTGTGAGAGTCGTCCAGGGACATTGACCGTTAATCAAATGTAGAAAATAAACGTGTCGGTTAGATCTAAGACTCTTTTCACATACCTGAGCTAACGTGATCATGGCCTAGTGAAAGGAGTGACGTACGCAAGAAATCAAATTATGTTTCGAAGGACGGAATCGAAAGGTTAAGCGAGGTGAAGCTCTGGACAGTTGTAGAGGGTTTTCATAGATAAACGTGGATTTCTTACCCTTGATTCAGAGACTTTCATCTACTGGTGACGCATCAAAAACCTTTTTGTGATAAAATGGCGTTTATTCGTCGTTTGCTTATTTGGAAGTGTCCATGTCAGCATTCGAATTAAAGTGAATTTGCCACGAAGCAGGATTATTGTAAGGGTGAAGCAAGACTATTGTAAGGGTATTATAGTTGTTGTTGCGGAACTTGAATCACAAATGTAGCTCTGAAAAAAATGCCACGTAGCTCTTTTACGCGACCAAAGGCCGTGTGTTCATGTTAAACGATATACTCAACATGGACTAATCTCTAGATTAGCCAAGATATTTACATCCAATGCCAAGTCTCAAACGCTCCATCTAACGCTTTGCATACAAAATGCATGTAAGTTGTCCACGCACGACTTTGGACGTGTAGGTTATAAGTCCCATGTCACACTATGCTTTAGTGCCTACGCATTATGTTCTGCATTGAATCCATCAATATACTACGTACCATCGCATATAGCAAAATAAATCTCAGACACAGTAACAAACTTGATTTTTCCTTTATTCTTGACAATGACTTTCTCCTTTAGTTCACGAAGTCAGCTACAGAACATAAGCACATACTTATGGCAAAAATGCTCTAAACCGCTACAAATATCGACAGTACTAAAAAGGAATCCCCCAACCCAGACTCTACTACTACCAAGACAGTGTGTATATATAGTTCAGACTTGTTGAAACCGACTTGTTGCAAGAATACTTATCATCATAATGTACTGAGTTGTGAGCAATTCTACTACAAGTAGAACTCCTACATTGCATCATTCACTGTTATTTTCCTAAGTGACCAATCCAGTGGCAAATGCAGTACATGACAAGTGTGTGTAATTTGTATATCATAAGAGGATATCAAGACCTACAATGTACATTTTACATCCTTACTCTACCATCCATGTACTGACAACTTTGTGAGCTGTCCCAAAGTACTGTACCTTCACAAAGATACCCTTAGTAGCCATTGAGGCCCTTTGTTTCTGAAAGTACCCACAATAATATGATATAATGTTTACTACATCACAAGAGACTGACTTATGCACAAATCCATGGCAGATTCCATATTGAGATTTGGTACAGTACTGGTCCTGCATATACTAATGTAGCATGACACTTTGAGAGACCAAAACAAACCAATACATGATTTTGTTTGGATTTTCCTGCCATACTGAGACTAATGACAACCATGTGCTTAACCATAAAGATGACTAGTGTTCATTTTATAGTACACAGTAGACACCTATAACATTTACATGAATCAAGTTTACAGTAATTGTTTAGCCATGACATCCCAACTAGAAGGTGACTGAAAAGCTTTACCATGTCACAGTGTACAGTAGATCTTTCATCTTTTTCCTTTTTTTTTCTTTAGTCTCTGAGATTATAAGGTATTGTGGTCGCTAAGTGCTTCTTGTGTTGATAAATAGTATTTATAAGACTCCTCAATTGTGTGTTCTTCTTGTGTCTTACTTAGAATGTAATATATAGATTTTCAAGCGATATTATGTAAGATTTTTGTACCAAGACTGTAAATATGAATGATTGAAATTTTCTCATCTAGATTGTCAATTTCAATAGCTTCCAACATAATTTGTTGCTATTTCGCTTTTCCGGTGACTCGAGAATAAGCAGTGCGAGAGTAAGTTGCGCCAGGCCCGCTGTTTTTTTAGGAGGCTCCTCAAAAGAATGTAAAGAAACAGCAGTTTTCATTCGAGTACCTTTGGCATCTTCCGGTGCATTTTTGTGGCACAAGAACGTTGATCTTTTACTCCCCAAATGTCATTATGAACCCAGGTAGGCTTACGTGTATATAAGAAAATGTGTAAAATAATGATGTTTAAAATGATGAAAATCTTACATTATATCACTTTAAATATCGAGCACTGCATTCATTCCCTTCTGTAAGTATCCGTGTACCAAACTGCATGTTCTGATATCACCTATCGTCGTGCACAGGAGCAGACAGAGGGTGAGGAGGACGAGGGACAGTCTCCCAGCTCATCCCACGCCTCGTCACGCGTCTCGTCTCCCGCGCCCGGACACGGCAGGAAGCGATGAGTCACCACGCAACCTGATGATATCAAGACAAGTCACCACACAATCTGATGATGTCACGACAAGTCACCACACAATCTGATGATGTCACGATGAGTCACCACACAATCTGATGATGTCACAATGAGTCACCACACAATCTGATGATGTCATGAAGAATTTAGTTGCCAACACAAGAAGACTAGTATGATGAAGATAAAGCACAAAGTTTGACTGACCTCCTCGCTGGGAGCCTGCTGCTGCTCGTTGGTGTCTGAGTCATCATCATCGCTGACGACGGCTTTCTTGGGTCGGCCTGGCTTCCTGCGAGGGCTCTTACCCTTGGACTAACGGAGGAACACAGAGACAAACTTTACTGCAGTGTTGGAGATAACAGAGGCTCTTTGGGCAACCAGAGGTTTTTTTAGATGAACAGATTTTAGAATTTTTCAGGGCACCCAAAAGGTTTGGCAGCATTTTTATAGCTGTCTTAAAGTGAATTAGTCTAGTACAGATAGATGCATATATGTAAGCCACATGCAACCTTACTTGTTGGTTAGGTTGTCCAATATACAGCTAAAGATGTTCTACTCACCTTTCCTCTGCCTTCCCCCTTCCCTACTCGGATCTTCATCTTGAGTGAGGAGCGAGCTGTGGGACAACAAACATCATTTTCTCAAATACTGTCTTCTTAAATTCTCTCAAACATACATGTAATACAAGACAATCTCCAGTTTGGACCACCATCAAAACCACTAATGTCTAAACTTAACCCCTTGCCAGAACATGTAAGTAACATTTCTTTAGACATTCTCAACTAAAATAAAGGCTTTGAGATGTAGATTTCCACACTTCTCCCTCAATTTATTCCTGAACCCAAACCCACCAAAACTTGCACCCCCTTCCTTCAAACTCAGACCCCTAAGTGTTTGTTACTAGTTTTGCATAACTGATAAACCACCCATAGGTGTGTGTAACTAACCACCAGTTTTGTACAAGCTGTATAAGGTTGGGCTGTAGGGTTCTATAGTTTTTAAGTCTCAACCCTAAACATAGGAACAGCAAGCCACCCTTGTGTACACCACCTCAGCTCACTAGAAGACCCCCCCCCCTCATACTCACACTCCGACTCGGACCCCTCCTCCTCTTCCTCCTCCTCGCTGTCCTCCCGTTCGTGTTGCCCGGGTGACGGCAGGTCACCTGACTGCTCCAGCAGCTCGCGAGCGTTGGTGAACACCGACTGTAGCACGATGGAGTCCTCATAGATCTGTGGGGAGGGGGGCACTTGTTTTGCTCTGATTTCCATGTTGGGGATGTGGTCCCGAAGGGAGACACTGACAATTGCTCTCAAGCATCGCATTTCAAAGGATAACAGGAGAAGTTCATCTGATTTTTTCAAGGTCCATGTTTCACATGCATATGTAGCAATCGGCAGAATTAATGCTTGGAACAGTCGCATCTTGAGGTGCTTACTCATGTCACTGCGGTTCCGTACTGTTTTTCTAAGTCTACTAAATGCTGAGGCAGTAAGTGCTATCCTCCTCTTACTACACTTCCAAGAAAGACAAATTCTGGGACCTTCTCTACGGTTGCATCCTCTATCCGAATGTTCTCTACTACCTCATTTGTGATTACCTTACACTTAGCAGCATTTACTTTTAAGCCCCATTTTTTACATGCTGACTCAAGTTCTTTTGTAGAAATCTGAAGTTTTCTAAATATAGCAGCAATTAGGGTGGTATCATCAGCATATCTCTCTTCAGTGGAGATGTTATCATGTAGCTGAAAAGTTGGATCAAGGCTCTTCAGCTCATCCATGACAAACTCGAGAAATTTGTTGAAAAGGACAGGTGACAATAAACAACCCTGCCTGACTCCCACTCCCACCTGGAACCAACTACTCCCCTATTGTAAGACCTGGTCCACAGAACCACTAGCAAAGCTTCATTTTAATATTACAATAAGGAAGGTGCTAGGGAAGCGTCTTGAATATGCATCAAGCCAGGCGATAACTGCACCGGCTTCAACGTCAAATGCCCCGCCCGGTGTTTTACATTTGTTTGTCGCCTTATTTCACACCCCCTCCCTATCCTTTTGACTTGATCAAGCAAGGAGTTAATAGGATAAAGTTACCAACTTTTAACGGAAAATGTCCTGAAACTAGACAAAGGAGCTTAAATGGGACTAGGCAAATATAGTCAGATTAACCATTAATTTTTTTTTAAATCTTGAATCGGTTGAATAAAGCACATAATCATCACAGTATTTGTGGTGGTGATTCTTCATTTTTTTTGTAAAACACAAACATTCTTCTTGTGTGTACAAAAAGCTCATGCATGATTGTTAGACAATCTTTTGTGCTTCAATTCTGGTAATGATACAATACAATACACTTTACATGCAAGCTATGCTTGGGACGCCATGTTGTACCCTGTCTAGACAAAGAGGTTAAAAATCTGATTTTTAACCTCCTTAGGTTTGTGTGTTTGGTCTTGGTCTATTGGGTATACTCATTTTGATAATGGGTTATTAGAGAAGCCATTATAGTTGAAATGCTCGAACGGGATTGACAGTTCTGGTATGTGCTTGTTTGGAAAACGTACGAAAACTATACATTCTAAAGCTACCATGATGGCTTATATTTGTATCCATAACAAGAAACATGCAAGAAGGGAAATACTGTGCTATTTCCACCCATAATGCGCAGGAAACGAAACAATAGATCAGTTTGGGCGCACTTATGCCAGACAGCCAATACACATCGCCATGCAGAATCGGCTTTTTGTCTTGCTTTTATCAAAGTCATTCAGGATCATGTTAGATTTACTAGTGACTTTCTTTCTTCATGGGAATTGTAGAAATAGTTGTCATCTGTCCTACAGTTTAAGAGCAAATTGACCAGTTATGAAACACTAAGCTGAAGAAGCCAGCACACAACAATCAAACCGCAAGGCTAAAGTTCAGGGGCCGTTGGACTGGTCAGTTGCTGGTGCTTGAACCCGACTGTTACAGCTACACAACAGCTACTATCTATATTTCAGCTCAGAAATACACAGGAACTACCAAGTTGAAATTACCAAAACTGTTAAAGAACAAGAAATGCTTCCAAGTATCAAGGAATATAATAACCTCCTTGCAAGTATTAATGGTGAAAATGCATAGAGTGCAGACAGTGGCTGTCTGAAAGGCCGGGCCAACATACTGGCCCCGGTTATAATCTATTCATCCAAACAAGGAAGTCTAAAACTCCTTGATCCAAAAGTAACAGCTTACAACGACTTTAAAGCTCCCTTGTTAGCAGAAATTATTTCATGGATAGGTAGAAGTCGCATAATGTACACAGTTAGGGCAAGGATGTTTAAAAGAGTCAGGGTTACTAGTATTTTGTTTGTGTTCTATGGTATTTCCGGCGTTTCTATGGTCTTTTTCTAGGGTCCTTCCTTTCTTGAGCCTATATATCCAGTCTCCACAAAAAAAGTTCTAAACGCCTCACAAGACGAAGAAAAAATACAACCGATTCATGCAGCCTGAAGATGAACACAAGTCACATTTTGTGAACAATTTGCTAACAACATGGAGGCCCGTCACACATCAACCTATCTTTTTTGACGAAAATGACATTGTGTAAACCTTGCTTGAACCTAGAAGGTTAAAATCAAGACTTTAACCTCCTCGCTTGGGCTTCTCTTAATTTTTCGTAACTAAATGCATACTTAGTAGTCCCCTCAAAGAGATAAGACTCGTGCCGTGATAAAATGCAACAACCCGACACCACTATTGTGAAGCGATTGAATATCATTTCAGTGATTTTTCCAGGGGTTTTTCTGAACAGGGGAACAAGGGCGCAGCGCCCTCATGTAACAACCCAGCGCCCTCATATCAATTTTCAGATTGAAGCCTAAGTCTTTTTCAAAATTATATTTTTCCAGTAAAAATACAAAAACAACACCACATAACAATACATTCTAGCATTACAAACTATGTTACTCTCATAAAAATTCCAAAATCTTACCACAAACTTAAACATTTAGCTCTAGTAGTAAAAGTTTGAATGGAATAAACAATGTTCATTGAGAACTTGCTCAAGACATGTAGCTAGACCTCCTTCATTTGCATACTATAGAACAGGCTCTGAAGTGAAACATGAGACCTGAGTTTGTAGCAGCTTGGATGAATGTGTTGCAATTGTGCCATGGGAAAGGTTTCAGCTTGTGCGTGGCAAACCCAATGTTGTCATCTGGAGCTACTGGTAACATTGACCACTAATTGTGTAAGTGTATAGAGGGTGATTTGCAGATTGTGTGTACTGTTGATTGTACTTATATTTTATAAGTGAAATATGCAATGCATGAATAGAAATTTGGGAAAGGTACATTGAGGTTAAGAGTTCAAATTTCCCCCCTCAAGTAGCCTCAAAATGTCCCATTTCACCTTCAAATTTTCAAAGGCTTCACATGGCGGAAGGGGGGATACCCCCCTTCCGCACCAAACCCCCCTTGGTCGCTTCGCTCCCTCGCCGTGATACTGCTCCCTCATGCCAATTTTTTCTACAAAAACCCCTGACGGTGTATATGAATCGGTTTTTGGAAAACCCATTTAATCATTGCGTATTTAGATATGAATCGATAACGTCATGGCAACCCCCTAAAATCCTGTCAAAATAAGCAAAATCTTGACATTCCTTTAGATTAAAACAATATTCTTATTTTCTGAAAACCGATTCATACACTACGTGACTGTCCCTATATACTCTGAAAATTTCAGCATTTCCAGCCATCGGCAAAGGTGGGGTCACAGCCCATCTCTGTAAAATCGTATGCCAGATTTTCCAATCAATAATGAAATATTATGTTAATTTTCAAGATTTGTTAAGCATTTTTCAACTGAAAAGCCTCTTGTCTAAGTGTCTATTAAATTTCAAGTTGTTATGTCACATCAAACTCGAGATATTCTCGATTTCCTATGCTACACTGTATTGTCTGCATTACACCTATTCTCCTCGACACCAGGTCTTACACTACAAGCGTAGTAATTTGCCTGTACAACAGCACACTGTGTGTTTTTGTGCAGTTCTTCTACAATGTTGACTATTTTTCTCTCCATCCCGATGGCTCGCATAATTTTCCACAGGGCTTTCCTCTGGACAGTATCAAAGACTGCTTTAAAGTCTTTGGAATGGAAGTGTAGGTTGACTTTTCTCTCTCTAGCCTATTCCAAGATTTGTCTTACTACAAAGATAGCATCAACTGTGCATCTCCCGCTTCTACACGAACGAACACTATCTACACACACCACTTGATCCTCACGTGCTTCCTCACGTGACTCTGACATCCAGCTCCGCGTCGGACGAGCCGCCTCTGCAATGTCAAGCCCCAGCAGCGTATGGTCCAGCAGCACTCTTTCACACCAAACAAAACTCAGGCTGTATAACAGTCTCGTGCTTTCCATTCTGCTGTACGGAGCCGAGACCTGGACCCTAACAGCTGCCCAGGAGCGCCGCCTGGACGCCTTCGACTCCAAATGCCAGCGAAGGATCCTGGGAATCAGGTGGCACGACCGTGTTTCCAACGATGCCCTGAGGCTGAGAACCAACCAGCTGCCACTGTCCTGCAACATCCGGTCAGCCCGTCTACGCCTCTTTGGCCATATAGTAAGATCAGAACCACCCCTGGAATTAGGTGCTCTCCTGAGAGAACCGCCCCCTCCCAACTGGTCCCGCCCAAGAGGGAGGCCAAGGCGCAACTGGCATGGTTTGACCAACTGACCACCGACCTCCAGGCCGTTGGCCTGGACATCACCACCGCCTGGGTAGCAGCCAGAGACAGGCAGGCCTGGAGGACAATATGCAGAGGCGCTACGCCCCCAACCCGAGGGGCATGCGGACCTGAGTGAGTGAGAGTGAGTGACTACACCCAGCAATTTTCCCGTCAGTCATTCAAGGGTCCAAGTTCAGGAGGGAAGGACCTGATGCTGTTTACAGTTTGCACTTGAATTTGCAACTTGGCAAAGGTGACGTTTGGCCAAAGAAATTCTGGTGCAGTATTCTCTGAATGCCAATGAGCGTTTGGCGTGGCTCAATATCGTATTACAGGCATGTAAAGAGGGCTGTCTTGGATAGGGGCTGAAGCGGTGGAAGCAGCGGGGCTGGAACCTTTGTCGTTGTCTGGTCACTCTCTTGTCATGGCGCGGTCGTCAATCTTAGTTGTGTAGCATTTGGCTGGGAAGCACAGGCAGCACCCTTATGACCTGAGGGAACGACAAAACAGCAACATGGAACTCAATTTCATGGAACAGCTGCCACATTCG